CGCGGGATACCTGTCTAACCGTGTACATGAAATCGACGATGATGCAGAGTGCGACGGTTTCGCAACCGCTGCTACTCTGCAGAGGTGAAAGTACGATCCGCTGGCGTTTATATTTCCTCAGTGTCGGCCGCGAGTACTGCTGCTAGCCTGACGACCCGGAAAAGTTCCCGAAAGTCATCCGGTAACAATGCATAGAAAACAGTACCGCGATAAGTTGCTGCCGTGACCATCAATAGTATGGCAGAATCACTTGAACTTCATCTCTCGCATTCTCCTTCCCGATCGCTCTTTCAGCTTCTTCTTTACTTGTGCACATGGCGTGTATAACGTCATACAGCCAGCAGCGAGGCAACTATTGCGTCGGTTGGGCACTCGCTGGTTCATTCAGCACGTGGCGCTGCCTGTACTATCGCGACACCAGGAACGCCTCCGACCGGTTTCGCTTAGGGGTTTCCTTTGCATTACGGCGTACATAGCCAACCATCTCATGTGAAATGACGCGGGGTAGAGCACGGGTCGGCGTCATACTGTGTGTGCGTTCATGTGTGTCGTTAGCGCTCTGTGAGCCACTCCCGGCTCCCATACGCAGGCCATTCTAACTGATTTATCGCACAAACACTAGCTTTCACCTTCGTCACCTGAGCTAGTGACTTGACGCTCAGGGGTTCGTACGCCGTAGCGCGACGAATGTAGTACGATAGCTTTTGGTGTGCAATGCTTACTGCTGCTATTGCAGAACTTCAATTTCACAGTCTGCTGCGATTGTATGGCCTTCAAAGGCGAAACAGCTACCCCAAGCCAAAACAGGGCAGGGTTCCATTGTGCTGTGGGAACTCCTTTTCTTGTAGACATAACGCACGAACATTCGACAAAAAACGCAGAAGATATAGTTCCTCACCTCAGTCCTGAGGGGAGAACGTTTTTTTCTTTGTTGCCGTAGTATTATTATTATTATTATTATAGAAGTGTACACTCATCGGGTCGGTTGGCCGACAGTCTGTTTCGCGATATCTAAGTCGCTACCGCTATCATTGTTACCGATAGTCCAGCTGCAGCAGTGTCGCTATCTCTGGTTTCGTTCTTGTAAAAGCTAGCTAAGAATAGCAGGAAAAAGATCTGACGCTGCGTGGAAGAAAAGTGGCGGATAGAAACGAAGCGGGCGTACATGAGAACAGGAGACCTGGGCATCGAATCAAATACTGCAGTCAAACTAAATTCTCTATTTAAGACTTTGTTGTAACTCGTACAAAGAGCGAAATACTGCGATGGGAAGTTTCGCGTCAATGTATGCGTACGGTCATTGCCGCATGTGTTAGCGGATCATTTAGAATATCAGCTAATTTGAACGCAAAACGTTAATGTTGACTGCGTCAAGGTAACAGCTCTTATGAAAAAAGACTAATATACCATGGGATTGGTTACGATATATTCATCAGTCCTGCAACATGAATTTGCCCCGTAGCGTTTGTATTTTTGAGAGCAGGCTCATTCTGAGAGTGTTTGAGATCGTATACAATTTCAATATATTAAACCTTGAAATAGAGTCACTATTACGACAAAAAAAACAAACCATAATTGTTCACCTTTTTTGCTAACACGTTATTATCTGTTTTTCTCATAACCAAACGAATAAGTGCTCTAAATGGCCAAACTCTTCAAAATCAAGTTTGCCCCTACAAACCCATTGCTCTTGGCGTACTAGGGATCGTATCAAAGTTATCACGATTAGAAAATGCGATTATTTACACTGTGTATTTTGTATATTGTTTGCCCTTTACAAGATCGGTGTAATTCCTATACTTCGATGCCGACAAAATAGGAAAGTCTAATCACACGCAGAGTTTATTCGGAAATATTGTCCTTTATAGAACAAACCTTCCAAATAGAACAATAAAAAAAAATCGCATATAAAGCTGTTCTGTTTCTCGTTTATGCTTTTTTATGGAGTAACAACTATCGAAGAATTAACGCCTGATTCGGAAATTGTTATAAAACCCCCCGGTTCATGCCCCAAATTTAGTACTTGAACCCCGCTAACACCCCCCAGCCAGCTAACAAATTCGATTCAAGCTGATCGCAAATATTGCTGAATTAAGATAACCCGCTTCTATACTACTGCTTTGTTTGGTGTGTCAGTCTGTGCTTCACTTGTCGAGTCGCCGGTCGAAGTCCACTTCTGCGATAGCCTCGATGAACCCCACTAACATTGATATTAGCAATGCGTTAGTCGGCAGAATCGTGGGAGTCAACTATCAGTTTAATAGAGATCGATGTGTAAATATGACAGACGCGTTTGCACTTACGTTACGAAATTGTGGCATTTTAAAATTCCGTGCAGCAAACAAACCGAATTCGGTTCTTCTGGCTGTTCACTTTGATGCTAGGGAAATTACTGTGAGGATATGTTCGCCCACGGAAGGGCAACTGCACGGTAAATCCCGGTTACTATGCCATTAAAAATTTCGACTCGCCCGAGGGCAACCTTTGGCGGCGTTATTGCCAGGCATAACCACTACTTGTACTACAGCAGCCTCCAGAATTTGTGCAACGTTTTCAATCCGAGTCAAAACGAACTTCCGTCGAAAAAGTTCTGTGCCTAACATCTTTAGCAGGGCGCAGATACCATCTAATATACAACTCCTTTCCAGCTACCTCAATCGGCCGATGTAATGATAGTGAACGATGATGTCAATAACATGATCGATAACTCACGCCTGAAAGCTTGAGTTAGGCCCATTTCGCAAAGACGTAGGCTTTTGCTTAGGCGCTTGATTTCATGGACGTGGCAGACATCGTGCAGTATCAGGCAGTTAGAAATGGCCGGTTCAGAGGTAAATTTGAATCAATATTGTCCAGATAGTGTCATTCAACGCACATAGGATTAGATAGGGTGTAATTCACAACATACAGAATATATTGTAATATTAAGAGTATAGCGCCCATCTAATTGATGAAGGAGAAGCTAAGCTTTGATACACTGGGCTTCTCGAAAGTAATGATATGAGCTGGTTATGAAGTTACGGATTGCTGACTTTTATATGCTCAGCTAGCCCGGAGAATCTTACGTACAGAAGAATTGACGATTGTTTCAAGTCGTAATCAACCATATTTTGTTGTTGTTAGATGATTATTGTACTTTCTCTTTTAGTGCTAGCATTTATTAAACATGGAAGTACGTTTGAACGTATCGCAGTGCTAACATTACTAGCCATAAAACTTACTACGCTATAATCTGTGTTTTGGAGTAATTTTTTGTTCCTTCCCATCATTTCTATGTCCTATTGCACATATTTTCATTTTGGACAAACTTACGAATTAAACATACCCTAAAATATAGACGTCCTCACACGAAAATGGCTCATTTTAAAAAATCCCTCGCCCCCCCCCCCCCTCGTAACTGGCATCACTGTATTGACTTTCGTTAGTACGCGGTCCTATATAGAGGTCTTTAAACGCAGCCTTACTAGCTACAGAGACTTCGAAAAAAAACTTGAACGGTAACAAATTATACTTAGTTTTTATCGCGTGATTTGTGTTCAGCTCACTATACTACGTAACACAATAAAATACAATGCACATAGGTAGGTAATCAGTTGCGCCAACAGCGCCAACGTAGGTTAACGCTCTCATAGAAGCAGAAGATAAACTATATATAGCCATGCTAGCATTTTATATATTATTCATAGACTACTAAAATTATTTCGAGTGCTTTTATACCGATTCGATGGATTTACACCGTCGATTAACGACGACATATAAACGCAATCCTGCTCAAACCACCTATTCTACAGGAAAAGATACAGGCTAACCGCTCAAGCCGATGCTTTAGTTGATACCGAAGAACTGAAAATGCAAAATATTAAGGAAAACACCGGAGAGAAAACTAAATTACGTTTTCTTTATGTATATCTCTAGCAAGAATAAACAATTTGCGCCTATTATATCTAGAGACAAAGGTTCTCAATTCTCCTAAAGTCGAGAGACAGCTGACGAAATTTCGTCCGGCAGATTATATACGAAGGGCTCGTTCGCGTGGGTAAATAAATAGAATTTCAGCTCTTCTCAAATCAAGTCATAGTCTATCAATAAACGGTATTTAAATAGCGATCTGAATGGGAACATATTCTAGGCTTTTTTTTTTTTCTGGAGAACGCTGTTACGCTAGCGGAACTACCAAAAGCAAACCTTACCTGATGTGCATTACGGCTATATCCCTATAAACGTATATATGGGAATTAGACAGTAATTACGTTCCCACAAAATCTAGCAATGGGTTATTATGAGCATTGCTCTTGGCCAAGCCAACCACTTATCCATGCAACCCTTCGCGTGTAACTACTTCAGCGAAATTCAACAACCATTTAGCTATTAGGCATAATTCAGAATTTTTGCTTCAGTAAGTAACAAGGGGTTAATATGTATGGCAACACAATGACGGGGGGTCCTATTGTAAGCTACTGAAAACACTCTGAACAAACAATAGGTGGCCGTCCTGTTGCTCAGACAACTGGGGCCCTTCGTTTAGCCCAGGTGACATTCAGGCTCCATCACACGACAGCAGTTTTTATGAAACAAATACATTTTTAAAATTATTATTGATATGTGATCTTCGTTCAACTAACCCCTGCTTGAAAATTAAAATAACGATACCATACAATGTCAATTATTCAATATTTTTAATAGCCGGCCTTACATTGACTGAAAATATACATTAATGTGGGTCGGGGCTCTTCTAAGCTATAAAAAAAAACTTGGGAAGTAAAAAAACATTAGAGGAGATACCAGAGAGCAAACTTTTTTTCGTACGTATCTTCAGCAAGAATTAACGACTTGCTGATTATTTATAGACACGTAAAGTTTTGGTTCCCAAAAAAGGGGAGGTAGCTATCCATTGGCAACAGCATGAGAAGGACTAGGACAGCGTTAGGCAAAAAGAAGAGTCGAACTTTCTTTTATTTGAACATTTTATTAGACTTACAAATAAAGCTTTGTTGCTCGAACATAATGCGGACCTTTGTCTAGGCGTTCCTGATGCTACGATTTTAATTGTAAAGCCTATGTTCTTGTATTTGGACATAGGTATAAAGACTTATTTGTGCCTTCAGCTTTAATGATAAAAATCAGCTGTACCTGTATATAGATAGCATGCTTTTTAAGGTAGGTCCAACGATGCTTCTTAAACGATGTTGATTGGCCCCCTTTAAAAAAGGTAAAGAACAAACAGAGTTGCTCCTATTGGCACAGTAGATACTATCAGCCGTTAATGCTACGATCTATTGAAATTAAAGAGCAACTTTACGACTTCGAGGTGATGATTAACTTACTTTGCCACATCCGATTTTACTTCGACTACACTTGACTTGCAGGCGAGTGCTCAAGTTCCCGGGTCTGAACGCCGGCCATTTCAGTTAATCCAACAGTCGGTAAATTATTCTCGGCAGAATTGTCCCGAGCAGGGTATCCGTAGTCATCACTGCTCGTTCCAATCAGGTAGCAAATTCATGATGATTACCAGGCTCTGCCACGTTAACGTAGCGGACTTGATGGGCTGTGTCGTTTACCATAGCAAGGCCCGATCGATCTCGTTGTTGTCAATGCTCAAATTAGCTACACCAGCCAAATCAAAGAGCTTCTCAATAGCGGTCGCGTCGTCATGTTCGATGGTAGTCGCGCCCTGTGCAAATATTTTCAGCTCTCCGTTTGGCCTGAATCGGGAATGTCATGCAGGGGATTACTTTATCGCTTTCGTTGATATAGATGGTAACAATTTTGTCCCGACTGGAAGTGACGTGTCTGATCAAGCCACCGAATTCTGGCAGCAGGAAATTGAGATTACTGTCAGCGTAGTGACCGGGTATCACTGGGTGCCTGAGTTTTCATGAAGTGCGCATTATCTTCTTGATCATTGTCTTCTCGATGGCATAGTTCTTCTGGCTTCAAAACGAATAGCTACGAGAGCCGGACCTGGTTCGCTTGCTGCGTGGTAGTTTGATGCTAAAATTTTCAAAATCACATGCAGACGCCCCAGATTGTACATGATTTTCGTAGTTTCACCAAGCGCCACGTTGCTGACGTCGACATTAGTAAGATCCACGTGTGAACTATGAAGATTATTGCTGAACCAGACTTTGACCGGTGAGCCCATAGTGAAACATGGAGCTGCTATAGCAAATAGGGCGAACATTGATACGCGTACCATTTCAATATTGTAGTGCTCGTCGTTGGCGATACCGGGTGTAATGGTTATTTTCAATCTCTGACTTTAACAAGTGCCTTCAGGCATCTCGACGCTACCATAAAGTAATATAACAATAAGTTATTCTTAAGCGTTGTTTTTGGCAGGGCCAATTATTCAACAATGCAACTTTTCGTAAGTGAGTACCCAAGCAGAATCTGAAAAAACAAGTAGCTTGTCGACCAACCACAATTAGGGGGTTTTCCTTCAGCAGGATTTGAACATACGAAGGAAAGAATAGGTTGTGTTGGCCGTTTACTGGTCATCTTATTGGTACAACGGTTTAGACAACTGGGCGTCTTGTTATGTTAAATCGTTGGAAAAGTATTGGCCATTTCCCTAATTTAATAGTTATAAAGTAACATATCGCAAATAATCTAAATCGTCCCATTGAAAAGTCACGATCTTATAATAGTAGATGTGCTATCATTGAAAGGCTATTGACGATGATTTAAAATCGAGTTAATGCGTTCGTTGTAGAAATTCCGATGAGAAAAATTCTTCAACGATCGTCATTTTAATCGTCGGTCCACCAACTACAAAAAAAAAAAAAAAAACAAAAAAAAAAGTTAATGAAGTAACTGCGTACGTTGACCAAGATTGGTACGTGGGTAGACATCACATCGATACTACACTGTTTTAAGCCAGCTGAAGAAAGGCTGGCAGCAGAGAAAAAGTTCGATTTTAGGAGCCATATAAATTCATGTTAAATAATTTGTACGATCGTATTTTCGGCTCCCGAACACAGTGAAATTAATCCAGTTCTAAAGCAATCACTCATAATGTAATAAAAAAAAAAAAAAAAAACTGGATTACACAAAAAATGTGCAAAAAAAAGAAGAGATGTGTCTTCGGGCCTACCTTAAAAGAAGCGACGCCTTGTGTTTGGTGAGACTGGAAAGAAATTACACATAATAAGCTACGGCCGCCTAGCGGAGCGATTGATCTTGACATCCACTATCGACACCTAACAAGATTACAACACACAGCGAAAAATAGACCGGAGCTAGCGAACGAAAGGGGGGTCACCTACCACCATAACAATGTTAGACCACGTAAGTCTTTGGCTATCCGGCAAATATTCAGAGCTCGGATGGGAAATTTGAATGTGCCGCCCAGCTCTTGCGCCATCAGACTATCATCTTTGTTCTGGTCTATGCAAAATTCCCTGTTGTTGATTCAATTTCAAAGGAGAAATGCAAAAATCACCTGTCACAATTTTTAACCGAAAACCATAGAAGTTTTAGAGTGATGCGACTATGGCGTTCCTAGATCAATAGTCAAAAAAAAAACATGGATCAAAATGGCGTATGTTTAGTTCAGTAAAATTATTTTAAGATATAAAAATTATTTGGGTTCACGTTTGCGCTGTCTAATACTCTCTGAGATCGCTTCGGATGTCTGAGTCTTCGTATGTCTTCGTGTCTATCTCTGAATATAACAGCGGATTCAAACGAGGCGCACCCTCTCGACTTCCGCCTGCAAACCGACACATACCGCGTACTTAGCTCGTTCCCTAGCCCAAATTTCTTTCTGGGAAGCACTGTACCAGCAGACGACAAACACTTCTGTTTTCGGTCTTCAATCCGCCAAAGCCTTCTCGACTATATACAGTATATATATATATATATATATTACTTTTCTTAAACCCGGTTGTTATTTTTAGGCTGAGTACGATGCCTATTTATCGTCTGTGATTTTTTGCCGTTGCGATACTGATTTATTTATCCCGCTGCTAAAAAATAGTGTTAAGATTTGAAAAATTTTTCTATTAGGAATTTGTCGAGACTTTGAAAAAAATGACTTCGTCGTTTCATCCAACTGTCTATATAGGATGTTTCAGCCAAAGCGAGAAAAAAAAAAAAAAAAAGTCTTAATGGGTAAAACCTTCTCTAGACCACTAAACGGACCATAGACTATAGCAGCTTTACATCTCCTTCAGCGTAACATCTTCGAGCTTCAATTGTAACTATCGACGGATGTAGTCGCTTGCGATTACGCTAGAGGACCTAGTTTTCATTGTGATACGTAGCTCTTTGCAAGAACGGATTACTGTCGACGTGACTGTAATGGGACAGCAAGATTATTTATTCTTGCAGCATCTATTCATCCAATTTCTCTGCCATATTCGTTTGTCCGAGACGAGCAAATATGGCATCTTTACATACACCTGAACGTTAATACCTGTTACTTTAAAATGGGTCGACTTCAGCTGCAGCTCTTAACCCTTCGTGAGCCTGTTTCGCAGGAGGTCGTCCCTGAGGCTCATTTTCAAGTTCGAAATTGCCCTTCTCGGAGTATTTTGAACGGGCGGCTGTTGACGGTGTTTCACCAAATACAGGGCTTAAACGGTGAGCTGTGTCCGCTTCGGTAGTTTATACGGATATAATTTATATCCGTAAATCACTCGAATATTTGGATTTTCCATGGCCCACTACAACCCCCCTCCTGAAATTCCGAGTGACGATCAACGAGCGAATGAACGGCCTCAGATTTCAAAGAATACAAATGAAAAAGAAAGTGTCGCACAATGCCAAACTATATGAAATTAATATTCATACTGCTTCAGATCGAATCGTTATATATACGCGGTTTTTCTTCGAATAAGCCTTTGCGTTAAGCATAAATAGTGTACGTTATATCAAGCTTCTAGACACTGAACTTGTCGATTGTGGTATGAACAAAAGAAGCAAAGCGCTATCGGAGAAAAGGGTTCCTGGAAACCCGCAACGCAAGCTATCTTCTTGAGAAAGTTCCTATCTGCGTTAACTTGCGAATGAAATACCGCTACAGTTGATCTTTTGTTGTAAAACTTGAAAGTTATATATAAAATCAGCAGTTGGTGATCAAGCTGTATAAATCCGTTCGATATTTAAGAGGCGGATCTCGCCGCTGTTCCTGTATGAGGCAGAAGAAAGCAGCAACCCAATACTTTCGCACAATGTGGCAGTAATAAGCGCCATATTTATAAAATAGCGTGTCATACGTCAGAAGGAAAAGCAAGGACCCTTCTGCAGAGGGATGGATTCTATTTGTTTAAAGAAAAACGTGGACTACAAGGACGAAACGACCGATGTCCTAGCTGTTCGATAGGCGCAATACAAGCAAATAATGAAAAATGCCGAGTGTCAAGGTGCTGATCAACGATCGATAATTTATTAAAAAGGAAAGTAAAGTGGGTCGGTTTCTGATTATTTATTTCGACCCATATGTTCTATAATGCTAGCAGTGAACGCGTATAAAGCGATCGAGGTCATATAGACTAGCTTCAAAAGCGCTCTTCAAGCAATACTCGCGGCCTACTGATTTAAAGCTTAGCGGGCGTTTTGCTTACCGGCTGTGTGTCGAATTTCGCGTGTATGAGTAAAAGATTAAGTCGAATTTTCTCTAGGATGAAGAATTGCTTCATGCTTTTTATCCATCGATTGAGGCCTTGAAGACGACATCAATGTTGTTACATTACGTTTAAACTGATCAAGTAGATCTCTATGCGTCCTTAGCAAACAGATCGAGAAGTACCTTGGATAACTTCGTGCATTAGTTGCAAATTATGAGACTGCGGTGCATCAATGCTATGTTGTCCATCTAATAATGAAAATGTCCAGGAACTTGTCTCCGCTGAAAAGGAAAAAATCGAATGCAAAAAATCTGCTTCACTGCACCCTTGTATTATATTCCAGGTATGTACCGTTAGGCATATGTATTTGAAGATTTCTCAGCGTATATTTGAGATTACACAACCCTCATAAAATACCTATTGTATTATAAGCGTGTATGAATTGGAATAATTGCTGTCACGGACGTACTTCAGCCGACTGATCAGTTGGTATGAGAGCAGATATTACAGGCGACCTTGTAGGATGTTATCCTTAATAAGATCTTCACTTTTCTACAGTGAGGGTTTTTTTTTTTTACATAACAAGTCAGATACCCAACCTGCAAAACATAAGGCTCACACGTTTCAATGGTGGGCCTAAGATCGGCAGATCCTGTGGCATTATTTCAATAGCGCTCTTGGAGCCGCTGTACATTATATAGGCCAGCTCCTGCATGTTTTCTGACGGAGCAACAGTAATTGTGAATCTAGACAAACAGTCTAAAGTTGACGTGCTTTTAATTTAAACAAAGTGTTGACTACAGAATAATTCTTGGCGTTCCGCATGTTTTGTGGTTTCCACACACTGAATCTCCTACAATCATGTTACATAGAGACAACGATCATTTACTAATGGTGTACATCCGGTTTCCAACATTGTGATACGGGCCATTTTGTAAATAAGCGGAAATTCCGCCGACCGACTTGCGCAGTGTCTCCGTAAAAAATCACAACGCCTAGATGAAGATTCGTGTTGTACTTCAGTCTAAAATCTTTGATCAATCGAAACAAGTCTTTCTCCGATACCTACATGTTGTTTATTATTTTTACATAGCTTGAAAGTTTGATCATGAAAGCAGTCGTCTGGCGCCCTTCTTCGCATAATGTCTTAAAGAGAATCACCGAGAAAATTCACTTTTGCCTTCTCAGTATCCTGCTCAACTCTAAAACTATTCAAGCTAGCTAATAGGGCTAAGTAGTAAACTACTTAAAAACACTAAAGTTTCAGAGTTTCGATTTAGCGGTATTACCAAAGGGGTGATGATCGGCTACGGTATCCCGTTGTAACCTCTAAGCCCCTTGTTACGTCGGCCCCGTAATCCTATCAGCTTTCATTCATCGCTATGGTCGCGTTATTTATTCCGCAGTATTCTTTCAGATGCATTTGTCTAAGGTAGCTATATTGTGATTCTCAGCAAAACACCGGTAGACGGCATCAACAACGAATGAGAATCCGTGGCTACGACAACTACTATAGTCATTGAAATGACAAAGATCTACCTTATACGAACTTAACCTCGTCCCAGTTCATCGTTGGAGGTCCTTCTCTGCGTGACCGCCTTAGTATTTATAATGAATGCGAGAAAGGTTGTGAGCTTAAGGGACATGACACTCCGGTTAAGGTTACACCTACATTGTATAACATAGCTCAGACATCATTCTTAACCGAAACCCCTAGTTGTCTAAACCGTAGCAGTAACTAGGTAGCGGCCAATCAGAGTTGCTTAACATGCCGACTGTTGCCTCAGAACATTTGCAGAATATTTACCAGACGACATTTCCATCGAGGATTTTCGCCCTCACCCGCAAGCACTATTCTGCCGCCCATATGCGCATAATCGGGGTCGGTCACCAGCCCATTACTATTGGGATATTGCCCAAGTTTTCACAGACGAAAGGTTGCGACAATGAGTGAGTAACTGACTTCTGCCGAAAGTGATGCTTGCGAAAAACTGACCGTTGGGTTAACTTCGTAAAAGGGTGCCCTTTCTCACTGGTCTAGATGCCTAAAAACACTATTTAAGGCCAAAGTATTGTAAACAACCATCACACTCGAGCTCACCGACCACGAGCACTACAGCATTGAAATGGCGCGCGTTTCAGTATACGCCTTATCTGCCGTTGCAGTTCTGTCTTTTGCTATGGGCTCGCCGATCAAAATCCAATTCTGCGACAATCTTGACGGTTCACACGTGAACCTTACCAATATTGATGTTAGCAACGTGGTGCTTGGCGAAACTATGAAAATCAAGTACAATTTTAACACAGATCGGCCTATAAAAAATGGGACATTTGCATTTGAGCTTGAAAATTCCGGCATTAAGATTCCATGCAACAAGCAAACGGAGTTCGGCTCCTGTAGCTATTCGTTTTGTCGTCAGAGGAACTATGCTATCGAGACCACAATGTGCGCCCCATGGAAGTGCAAGTGCCCAGTGAAAGCGGGCCACTATGCCGTAAACAACCTAAATTTCCCGACGCCGGAAATCGGCGGTTTGCTCGGAAGCATCATTGCCAGTCAGAAGACAGTCGTTACCATTCGTATCAAGGAAAACAGCAGGGTTATCTCCTGCATGACGTTTTCGATCCGGGCCAAACGCAGAGGTGGAGGTATCTTCGGCAAGGCGAAGCTACCATCGACCAAGACCGATACGACCGCTCTGAAGAAGTTCTTCGAATTGGCCAGTGCAGCTAACCTGACCGATGCCAACAAAGAAATCGACTTTTCGAAACTAAGTCGATCGGGCATTGTTGAACTGAACGACATAGCCCACGAAGTCGGTTACTCTAACCCGGTGCATTTCGCTAATCATGGATTAGTTAACCTGATCAAAACTGACAGTGACGATAAGTACCTTAATGCAAACAATCTTTCTCAGAATTATTCATCGACTAATATGTTAACCATGCTTAATAGATCATAGCCTATACAAGTCTTCACCATAGGTTTCAGTAATACAGCCTTATTTATGAATCAGACAAAAGAAAACCCAACCCTTCGTTTTACCTAATGCTGCCCTAACAGTTCTGACATCATTACCAATGAGATAGATGTTCCCACGCAACAGAAAACTCTTGAACTAGTATGTAGTGACCATAAGTACGAATAATAAATATGTATAATCGAATAAATGTATGGTAACTCACTCAGTTTAGTCAGAGTTACAGGTTTTATGATGACTGCTCTA